GGGCCCCGCCGCGCCGCCGCCGTCGCGCGCGAGGGCGTCCCGCTGAGGCGCCGCTGCCGCGGTGAGCCGGCCCCAACGAAATGTGAGGCAGAATGCAGAGTGATGGCGGGCGGGGACGTACAGGAGGAGGCCCGCATTACTGAGACGCACCCTGTGATGTTTGTGACTCAGGTCCTGCCAGCGCGCCCGGCGGTTCAGAGTCCGATGGGCGGTTGAGCGCGGCGGTTGAGCTTGGCGACGGTCAACCCCCTTCCGCGCAGGAGCGCTCCTCCTTCAAAAGCACTCAAAGCACACTGCCTGCGCTACGCACCCCTTGTCACTTTCACCTGCGTCTTCCTCTTGCCCCAGGCTTGTCAAGGTCTACACCATCAGCTGCTGAAGTCGTGCCAGCTGCCAGGCAACATGCATTCAGCAACTGAAGCAACCTGCCCCCCAGCCTGCCGATGCTCTGCCAAAGGATCCTTTTTGTTTGCGCAAATGAGGTGGCTTCCAAGGTCCGCGGTTGCTGCTCTTCCCTGAGCGACGACACGGCCCGCCATTATGCATTGCAAGGGGCCTTGTTTGCTGGATTTGTGCAGCTGCTGTCCCGCCCGGAGTCGCTGCGTACTTCCCAGACACGTGGCTGCCAGCTCTGCACTGAGGAGCTGCCGCTCAAATGTTTGGTTGCAATAGCGTGCAAAGTTGAAGTTGGGTTTGAAGAGGTTGTGACTGCTGGGCAGTGCGTGCCAGCTATAAATGTAACAGGTAGCCCGCAGCGTTGGCACCGGGGGGAGCGAGGCACTACTGTGTTTCGTGATGTGTTCAAAAGTTTGTGCACAGGGCATGCCGTCAAGCAAACACAGGGAGCCGGCCAGCCCTGAGCTCTCTGCAAAACCTGACAGTTATGTGCTTCCGTCACATCCTCCCACATCTGTGCAATCAAGTGTGTTTCTCCGCGCTGAGCAGTCAACTGCCCCCGCATCACATTAATCAAGGCATACGAAATCACCCGCAGCCCTGACCTGACCTGACCTAAATGGGTCTTTAATGAAGAAGAGCCAACAGCACGGCACACAAGGCGTTACAACAACGTGCTGCAGGCATGCACCAACCCCAACGAGGCAAATGAATGCAATTACTGTCCTGGCAGGTCAACAATCTCATGCACCAACACCCTCCGGCTGACCGCCGCTGCTGCCACCGCCATGGCGCGCCGCCTTGCACACCGCGCGGTGGCCCCTCACCACCCAGTCTGTCCTGCAGCACTCCTGGCTGCAGTATCGTGTCCCCGTGACGCTGCCGCAGCCTGCGCAG